AAAAACTTCTCAGTTTGTCCTCAAAGATGCAGGGATGCATCAGTTAGAGGAGCATGTGTGGACCCAATCTCCCTTTGTTATGATGGAGAGGAGGAAAGAAAAAGGTTTATCAATGCAGCTTTGTGTCGGTCTCCATGGAGCCACATTGCACAGCTCTCTCCTGAGTGAGCAGCGTCCCACACGCTCACAGAGGCCTTCTTTGGTTTAGCTGGGCTTCCTACCAATACCCAACAACTTGCCCCTGATGCTTAAAACTAAGTGTATCGTGCACACTTCACATTGTAATTCAAATTTTGCATTCGCGTTCTGCTTGAATGCTTGCAGGTACACTGAGAACACACTTTATTGTTGTTGTGCAGTACTTTGCAGTCAGGAGAAAGTCTCTGAAACAGTATGCTTGTTTTCTGAATGGTTCCAGATGTGCAATCAGTACGCATCACATGATGGCAGATAGCTTGTTTTGTTGCTAGTTGTTCTGCCTTTAGTCGGGTTCTCTTAGAGGAGGAAAACCTGCACAGAAACACCCACAGTGTTAAAGCTGTGATCTTTGAAACAATGGTACCATATGGACATCAACACAGAGATATATCCGGTCTAATACGAAAGTAATTATGTGTCAAAATGCACCAGCTTGTGGAATTCAGTTTGTGAAATTGCAATACGATGTGAGCACTTGCATGACAAAAATCTGAACTTGTGTTTTCACTTGTAAATAAAATTCGAATTCACACGTGCAGTTTGCAGATGCTGCTAAGGGGGATGTAACAGTAATGCTGAACGGATCCATCACCAAGCCATTCGATGACAAAAGGTGGGTTGTGCTCCTGTGAGAGCTCAAATATATTTGGACTTATCAGGCCCAAGAAATTTCTACCAGACGGTGTTTCGTTCCTGCATGGAGAGGCTGACAGGAGCAGGACTCCATCTGTCTGGGTACTGCATTAGAGAGGGAAAAACTAATGTTTCAGTGACAGCTTCGATTTAATAATTATTTGCATTTGGATCTCAGTGTGTTTTTTTTCACAGCGTCTGTCTTGTTCATTTCTGTTTCTGTGGAGACTTTTTTTGTAGTGAATGATAGTAGAATTAATGTTAAAATGATATTCCCGAGAGTTGCATATGGCTACAATTTGCCTTTTTATATGTTTTACACTCCTAGGACTTGTACTGCATCTGGATTTTTCTATCACTGAGCTACTATAAATGTCCCTTTGTCCCTTTAAAATGACAAAGAAAAGTTCCTCTGAATCCTCTCTTTCGTGAGAATTGTTTTTCTTTAGCAAGAGACATCATTTTAAAATATCTCCATGGGTGGGTTTCTTTTACTCCTAACAGCTACACAAAAGTGTAGCCTTTATTTAGCGCTTATGGTGACTATATTTCCTCTAAACTCTGCTCTTCTCAGTATTTTTGCTAGCGTCGAGGTCGAGAGATTAAAGTCCCCCAGAATTAAAAATCTCAAAGTTGTTCTGGTCGCGGACAAGAAAGCTGGGTAAGACTTTCCCCTAAAACACACCACATTTCCAGAGCTACCTGCTTTAAATGTGACTAAACATGAATGTCTAGTATAATTATCTACAGATATCAATACACAAACCTGAGCTGAGAAATTTCACCCCCAATTTAACCCTCTGTCCTCTTTTTGCAGGAATAACTGCAAAAATGGATCCTTAAAAGCCTTACTGGAGCAGCTTAAAAAAAAAAAAATCAAATATGACTGCAAGGACGTGCCTCAGTGAGTCCGGTTTGTGTAAATGGATCTGGTACCCTGGGTGTTTCTGTGATCTCACATCAGATGGGCTTTTTGTCACAGATCTCAGATCAAGAAGTGCAACTCCAACGGGAAAAAAACATGTGGATCCTGCTGGTGAAATAACTCCCTGTGGACTGACCAGCCTCGTGTTTCTACTGCCAAGTGTTGTAATCAGATTTGAAATAGATTTTTTTTTATATCACAGTGTCACTTCATATTAATTTTGCAGATGCATTCTTTTACAATACGAATTTGTCAGATATGAGTTTCTTTGTAAAAAAAAGAATAAACGTTTTATTACACGTTTAGCTGTTTCCTCGTTTCCTCTGTTTCCTTGAGCTCATTCTGCACAGACAACACATGAGAGATATTTTATCAGTTTGTTCTTCCTACTATTGTTTTCCTGTCTTTCTTTGTTATTATTCTTTATTCCGTACGTTTTTCTGCGTCTAACTACTAGGTATCAAAATGTTCAGCTATGACTTTTGGTGTTCAAATCTTTTCAACTTTTTAAGTTATTTAACTCTTTCTGCCTTTTTTCTCTCATTGAAATGAATGGAGTCAAAAATATGACTCCATCTGCTGGACACTGGCATTTTAGCCGTTTCAAATTTTTCTAATGTATTCCTGTGCAGTCTAGTTGACTGCAGATTAAGAAGTCCCCCGTTCAAATCCCAGTCAAATCTTCTTGTACCTTATTGATAATTTCATGGCATTTTACTCATTAGTCTTCTTCCACTCTTCAGTTTATCTTTAAAGCATCTTTCAGCCAGGGTACCAAATGACCGTTCGACTTTACTGTCCTGGCGTGAGAAAATCAAAAGCTGTTAGCCCATTGTGCGCTCAACTCCGTGGGGTAGAATAGGTTGGCAAATTAAGTCTTTATATCAAATACATGCAAAATGAACAGGGAATCAACAAAAAAAAAAAAGTTTTAGTTTGAAATGCATCGTCCTGCCATGTTATCTTGCATTGTTGTTTCTCTTTCCACTGACTTTTGCCACATTTCAGTGCTGTCTTGTGCTGATGGTTTCTGTCTTTGAAATCCTTGAAAAACTTTGACCTACTTCAGCCCTAACTACGTCAGCTGTGTGTGTATCTGAGTGGATCCACCTGGCCTCTTTTACTGATGGTTTTTCAGCTTTTCTTTGTAATCTTCTGGCACCATCTTCTGGTGATTGTAGAGTCATTGAATTTTCAGCTCTTTCAAAAATTTTCCTGGCTTTTCTTTGGCCTCTTGTGGTTACTCCCTTCAGCATTAGGCATTCTCACAGCTGTTCCGCGGGAACGGGCAATTCCATTTGTTGTATTTAAGGTCCTCTGTGGGACAACTGGAACAGTATTTATGGTCAATTTGGATACTAAGAGCCATGGGAGGAGATTCATGTTGCTGTAAAAGTGGTTTCAAATGTGAGGCTAAAAATCAATGAACCTGGATTGAAAAGCCCATATGGAGACCTTGGGCATGCGTTGAATTTAATGATCAATTCAAATTTTGATCCACTTGATAATCTATGACTTCTTAATTAATGAAAATTCATAAATATAATCTCAAATCAAAGTGAAGGATTTTGCAAAAATATGAAATGGAAAAACACTATTGGCTAATACGCAGATGTATAACTGAGTAGCTATTTATGTCACATGACTGACAGCACAGGACTAATAGACACTACCTTTGAACTGAGGAAATATCCCTGACAGCATTCCTGCATATTGTGGCTCTCAGTATCAGTTTTGCAAGATTACACTTCCTTCAAGCCTTCTTTTCTTTTTAGAGTTGATCTTTCAAATACAGATTCATGAAAGCAAGTAACATCTACGTGAAAGTGTCCATCAAGTAACTTTCAAAGCGTTTAAACTGTCTTAAAAGCACAATGCACAAGATTTGAAATATCTTATATATATATCCAATAAGATTGGTTGGATTGGTTGAGTGTGTAGGAAAGTGTTTCTAACACACACGTAGTTGTGCAGTGTTGCCACTAGATGTCACCAGTGACTCTTTCAAGTGCAATGACTTAAAAAATAACTTTTCCAAATGGGTAAGCTTTCAGTCTAATATGAAAAATGGCTATTCCTGTTCCTTTGTTTGGAGCGGGCCTCATGTCTTAAAATGTTAAATAGCTTTCAGCAAACTAAAGCTG